TGCATTCTGACAAGTATAATTTGGCACGGCTCCCATGACCCAAAGCTATAAATACACAGTGCCTTTTAGAAAGTGGTCAAAAGTAACATATGTTATACTTGGGATGAACGTTTCTCAGTAAAGTACAGATTCTAGTACAAACCTACTGACTGAGTGTGACCCAAAATATAACATATGTTACATTTGACCACATTCTAAAGAGCATTGTGTTTACATATACGATAAACCAGCAAACCATTTTTCTCAGCAATGACATTTACATTTCAATAAGGAATATAACACATGAAAAGGTTGGTGGGTTCGTAAAAATGATAGAATGATCCTTTGGGAGAAAGACGAAACAAGTTTGATGAGGGTCCTGGAATCCAGTTTTACATAATAATCATAATACGGCTGAGGATTGCCACAGCCTTAATATAATCTCGATATATTACGACACATACATGTACTAACTTGTGTCTCTAATGGTCATCAAAGTTTATGTGGAGAGGTAACACTGTATATAGAACAAAGGAGTGAGGGACCCGTGAAGATCCGAGTTAGAAATGGTCCTCAGTAACCCATGCTTGTCGTAAGAGGCGACTAACGGGATCGGGTGGTCAGGCTCGCTGACTTGGTTGACACATGTCATCGTATCCGTACTGTAGATCGATGCTAATGCTGTTGATCACTGGACTGTCTGATCCAGACTCGATTATTTGCAGACAGCCGTCATATAGCGGGGACATTGCTGAGTCCGGCGTTAAACAACCAACCAACCAACCAAAGCAGTGAGGATACACACCACGATCTCTCCTGACTCCTAAATACCACCAAGTCTTTCACGCTCACTGCTTCACACCTAATACAACACAAATCTCAAAAGAAAAAGAGAAAAGGGTACTATGTGAAGTTATTTAACTGTAGATATATCATAGTTTCACGTACACGAGTATATTTCTTTATTAATACTGAATCTGTGTATAAAATGTACAGTGTAGTTGTGTCCCGCATATATACCATAATGCCGGGTGTCTGGCAGCAGCAGAACGCAGCAGGGAATGGGGAGACAAGTGGGAGTTACCTATTGATGCTGGTATCATACATCTGTATAAATCATTAGCTTCAGCAGCAGATGTGGGCATCTGGTCACGTGATGTTGGTCAATATACCCACCCACCATCAGCTGCAGGTCCACTAGTCCGCGATACACACCCTGAAAAAAAAACATATCCAAGAAAGCCCATGGAAGTCTAGATTATGTGGCAAATGTACTAGTAGATTACCACAGTTTCTGAAAAGGAACAAAGCCTCTGGGCTCCTTTTTATTTTTTGTCTGTAAAATATGTTCATTTCATGTTACCGGCCCACCTGCCTACCGATTTTTGAATTATACTTCACATCTACTCATTCTAAAATTTGCAATATATGTAAACCTATTAACTTTGACTAACTAACATGCTGATATTTTTACAACAATATACACAAACACAAAAGATCATATGCTTTTAAACTTGACTGTATTAGCTTCCCAAATGTATTTGTTGAATTTGTAACACAAAGGTTAAAAGATATGTACTTGCAACTCTGGACTGCCTCGCTAACTCTATCACCCAAAACCTCATTATATAGCACTTTTAAATCAGATCTTATAGCAGAGCATTACCTCTTTGATGTTAACATTAAAATGTTTAGGACAGCAATTGCACTTTTACGATGTACATCCCATGAATTAAATATAGAAAAAGGCAGATATCATAATGTTTCACGAGAAAATAGACTGTGTATGTTATGTGATTTTGGGTTGATAGAAGATGAGTATCATTTTATATTAGTTTGTCCGTATTTTCACAATTTAAGAATGTTATATATCCCTCCATTTTACCACATCAATCATTGTGAATATATATTAAAGTTATTGCTGAAAGCAACAAATGTACAAACTGTTAAAAGTCTATCAACGTACATCTATCATGGGTTCGAACAATAGAAAATCTGTTTTAAACATTATGTGACTGTACAAACTTGAATTGTCCTATAGACTTGTGGCCTCTTCAGTACCCTGAATAAAACAAATTGAATTGAACAAATGATCAAATCAATAACACACACTGTTTCAAAAAGAGCTCTGAGAATGTGCATTCAATTCATTCTCTCCTTTGAGTGGCATTTTAATCCCTACTGTATACGATGAGCTCATCAATCAACCCTAGCCTCTTGTATAAACATTACTGGCTTCTACTGGCTTCTATGTGTATCCCTGTTGTTCTCTGCTACCATTTATTCACTATCATCACATCGTTAATCTTGTATACATTCTAAGCTCTGTGTATCATTGGCTTCCACTGGCCTCTATGTTTATCCCTGTAATCCTCTGTTATCCCTTTATTTGTTATCATCACATTGTTATTCCGCCTTGCCTTGTTAATTAGTCTTGTTGTATATATATATCACCTGTTCTCTCCCTGTACCATTCTCACTTGAAAACGATAATAGAACCTGTATCGAAACGTCGTGCTCTAGAATAAAAGAAGTTGTCATCCATATATACTTGTTCTATCCAATTCATTCTCTATTTCTGTTGATAGATGCTCATGCTGTTGATCACTTAATCGTCTGGCCAAGACTCGTTTATTTATAGACCGCCGTCATATAGCTGGAATATTGCTGATTACGGCGTTAAACAACAAACCAAACCAATCATTGGTTCAATCACAGGCTTGTCTGGTCCAAACTTGATTATTTCCAGACCGCCGTCATACAGGTGTTGCGATGCAGACGTACAACAACATTGCGCAAGCAAACAAACATTGGTATCAGACCACTAAACACCTTAAATACACTTGAATTATTTCCTTCAAATTCCAATGAAACTTTCAAGATGAGTCAAACACTATTTCCGCCACAGAATGGCAATCATCCGTGTCATGTAAATTTGACGTTTTTTCAGGTAATTGTGTAACGTTATAGCCAGCACTAGCAATTATTTCGGTGGTTAATTCAATGAGATTGTACCGTGTTCAACCTTAGTATGAGACAGAAAAAACATGTACACAACTTGTCATACAGTATCAGAATTGTTGACGATAATGTGAATATTCGTTTAATGTAAGGAAGCTTTATTCTCCATCGCTTTCCCGCTATCAAGGAATAAACAACACAGGTTGAATCGACCCAGGTCAAAGCATCGGGTGATATCCTTACGTCATTATAAGGCTGCGTGTTTCAGTCAGTCACTCGTGTATTCACTCGTGTCAGCTGTGTGTAAACATTTCAAACTGTCATGGACAAAACATATATCTAATGTAGACAATAACACCAGATTCCCATGAGACGGTTACATAAATAGACGAACAATATTACTTACAGAGAGAGAGGGGCATTTTGGGCTCATTTAACGTAGTGACGTCACTTCAATGCAGATATAGAGGATTAGATAGAAGATACTCTCTTTTAACGTTGCTGTTTGAAGTTTTTCGTATGCGCTGGTTCTGAATAAAACAACATGAGACCCATTGGTTAGTTTGAAGCCTCAAATTTTTCGGTGGTTAAAGCAAAATATTTTGCTGTAAATACTAAGTATCCAGGAGGCTTTTGTCAGTATTTTTTAAATATTTCTGAACGTTACTACAGCGATTTCTGGTATTTTAATGGATTTAAAACGCTTACAAAGGGTGTTTTCCATTTACATGACGATTAATTCTACACAAGCGAACGCATATCTTGCACGACGTTGTGTTCCACCAGCTTTAGTTAATTTCAAAGATGACAAGCTGGTATTTGCAAATACGTTTTGTGTCTGATGACTTCCATAGTCTTCTAACCACAATAATACCTTACCTGTTATACCGTATTTGCTAGCTTATGAAATAACCCTTTATGGACTCTTTGTACACATCACATTATACCATACAATAATATTCATGCTTATCAACTGATGGGGCTGTATTAGTGAACATTTCAATTAATTGGGAGATAGTAGACCTTCCTGGAACAGATCAGACTGATATTTATACTGGAGAATATTTACACTAATTTAAACTTCATTCGTGATGTTGCTTGATGTAATTTGGACTACTACGTGGTGACCCTACCCACAGCATGCAAACGATCTTAGTCAATCATTTTAAAATTTAATACATAGGTGTTTGTTACAGAAGAAGAAGAGGAAGAAATGTTCTTTGTGTGTCAAACCAAACAACTCGACAAGTACAGTCAGACCTCGTTAATACGAACACTTTGGGTTTTTTTAAAAAACGTTCGGATAGTGAAACGTTCGTACTGCTGAAACCACAGTATATCCACCGAGTTACTTCCCCTTGATACAACTACAACTTAAATAAAATTATTTTCGAATGAAAATGCAAGCTTACATTTATAACGTCCAGATAAACCACGAAAGAAGCAAAAACTATGGCGATTTTTTTCCATTTGTGACATGTCATAACATGCCCGTGCCTTTTTCTTTTATATTTTCATTTTTACGGCCGCGGTATGTATACAATATTAAAACATGATCTAATTAAGAGTGTAGTTCCAGCCAATAAATGGCTACATATATGTACACATATTAAACAATCCATAGATTCAGATATAGATATGGTTCCAAAAATGCCGTAGATAAAAGTATACGCATTTTGTTAAAATGAAATTACATGTTAAAATGAATTATGATTGTGAAAGATCTTTTTATTCACATATATCAATGAATTTGAATTATTTTGTTATCGGTTGTCGCTTAATTATCATTGACAGGCACATTCATAATTATAAAGCGCAATGTATTTCGTCTTGTCCTGTGTTCCTGGACGAGCGAGTACACCTAGTCATATAATCTCTTGCACCTGAGCTAGATTGAACTATGAACAACTAAATATTACAACAGACGAGGAAAGTGTTGGGGAGATCTCGCCTCTTGAAAGGAACACCAGCCATTTGCAGCATACAATATGAGGAAAAACTTGAATCAGGTCACTTTGTCAGGTAACGAAAATGAGGAAAAGTGTTCAGCAGGAAAATATTTTGTAGTCGAACAAAGAACCTGACGCATTTAAGCGCACTTTAGCGTTTCTCGAGCCAGTGTGTGACAGAAGTGTGCAGAGGAACTTTCTACCACGCTTGCGACGGAACGAGATGAACGCTTTCATCGTCATAGTGTGTTATTTGTCTATAATCGTAAGTAGGACTCTGTGTTTATATCTGCATGTATTCTAAACTTGCGCACATTATCGTTTAAGGCTGTCTGTATATTTTCTGTGTTTCCCATCAACCGCCTGTTCTGAATTTCATTCCTGTGTCAAATATTGGAAAGGTTTCCTATTTCAGTCTTCCCCGCAGATGTGGAAATGTATGCCCTGGAGTGATGAAAATATACTCTTATCATTGCACATTCACAAAATAACCCAGGTCAGCGTGACCTTCCTTTATCGATCTTTATCAGTAAATTGTTTCCGAAGCAAAGCGTCTCGATCTACATCATATATTAATTCAAAGACTATTGTGAATTTAGGGATAATTTAGGCCTGTCTTTCGTCCATCGTGCTCCTGTCTATATGTTTCCAAAAAATGACGTCCTTATAAAGTGAATTTTAAATATGGTCGCCTTTACAGCTATGTTGAAAACTTCCACATGACCTAACCGCGTAGGCATTAAGTGAGTGAGTGAGTTTGGTTTTACGCCGCTTTTAGCAATATTCCAGCTATATCACGGCGGGGGACACCAGAAATGGGCTTTACATATTGTACCCATGTGGGGAATCGAACCCGGGTCTTCGGCGTGACGAACGAACGCTTTAACCACTACGCTACCCCACCGCCCCGCGTAGGCATTAAGTACTCACATATCATTGTCCAGTTTGATTTACAGCATTTGTTCTATGTGTGGCATATAGAAACATATGGATTAGTTTTGAAATATTACGTGTTGCCGATTTGTGATCATTTAAACAGCAATCGAAACCTACGAGATGAGGGCCATCTTTTGGCGTGTTTTTTTCTTTGTTTAACGTTCTTCATACTCTCGCTCTGCCTCTAACCATGCAAAGGGCTGATCTTATAACCAAATGACCACGATGTTTACAAACTAATGGTGTCTGTCATGACAAAGATCACGCTTTCCCATCTGGCTTACAATATTTGTCAGTTTAAGTTCGATTTCATTCGCCTACCATGTCATGCTTTTAGTGAAGAGTGGATAATATGCTGGGGCTGATTGTGATTTTATCGAACAGGATAAAGAAACATGAAAACAAAATAATTATGTTTGAAGCTGTTATTTTAGCCATATTGGAATTCCGACAAATAGATTTACAATTGGCTCTCTGCATTCTATTTCAAAATGTTCCATTTTGTATCCGCTCGATGCATTATCTATTTAAACTATTTTGTATTTGTTTTGGGGTCCATTGTTGCTGTTAATTGCGTCATTGTTAAAAGGTATTCTCGGACACATTAACATAATAGTGAGTGAGTGAGTTGGGTTTTACAACGCTTTTAGCAATATTCCAGCAATATCACGGAGGGGACACCATAAATGGGCTTCACACATTGTACCTATGTCGGGAATCGAACCCGGGTTTTCGGCGTAACGAGCGAACGCTTTAACCACTAGGCTACCCTGCCGCCCTCATTTAATAGAACACAATAGACGGGCCCTGTCTATTAGTTTCTGAATTCACAAATGTTTGTTGTTTGTTTGTAACCGCGCGCGATACAATTCCAGCTCGATGACGGTTGCCTGTAGTTGAATCTTGACCAGGCAATCCAGCGCTGAAAACCTGAGTGAAAACATGCATGTCAGTGAGTCTGATCCCCCGATCTGGACAGCCACTTTGAGTGTTGTGAGTGACATCTGTCCTATTCGGAACCAGGATCCCGATTCACAAAGCGTTCGTAAAGTTACGACCTGTCGTAACTCTATAGTTTATCAATGGCTTACGAATGTGGTAGCGCTACGAACTTTCTGTGGATCAGGGTCCAGGCTAGCTATTCTCGAAACGTTCGTAACCCTACGAACTTCTTAAGCCCATTCTTAACACATTGGCTATGATCAAAGTTAAGAATTCTTAGGGCTACGAACGTTTCGAGAATAAGGGCCCAGGCATTATATGTCAGCTGTGTATTGACTCTTTATGCCTCTATTTTGCAGCTACCATATGGAGCCCACTGCGCCAAGCTACGCAGGACAAAGATGTGCCACGGCTCGTCTTCTTACAAGTATGACGAGAGCATGCTAACGTTAGGGACGTTGATTCCAGACATTAAGAATGCCACAAGTACGTATACCCGGGACAGCGAAGAGAGAACCTTAATTCTGAGTTTGGTTGACTGGAAATGTCCCAAACGTCTAACGACGTCGTCGGTCCTCTGTCCCCACTACTTCGTGCTCAACTACGACCACAACCGGATCCCAGCTATTGTCTACGAGGCCAGATGCAAATGTAGGAACTGTTTGCAATCACACATCAAGAAGTGTCTTCCCTTGTACCACTTCAGATATGTTCTGCTAAAGGACACCACTTCGGACTGTTATGTGAGAAAAGTCAAAGCTTTCGCGGTGGGTTGTCAGTGTCATACTCATTCGTTGGCTTATTCAGCAAATCGTTTGTAAATAGATGCTTACATGAATTCTTCTGGTATCGCCAGTTCGTCATATCGATAGTTGGTTATATGAACTAGTCTTTATTGTCACGGTTGCCACACAAGTTGTGGATTTAATTTGAAATAAATGTCTATCGAACTTTCTCTGACTGTAACTGTGTTTGTTTTGTTCCCACAGGCAGAATTACATGCGCACACACGCGCACGCACGCGCGCGCGCATACACACACACACACACACACACAGAGACAAGACGAGAATCCCCAAATCAAAGACAAATACATATCACATAAACAAAAACAGAAAACCCCAAAAGACAGACAGATAGACGCACGCACGGACACACAGGTACGCACAAGCACACACACAAATAAACATAAACGCAAACACAGACAGACGGTTGTTTTTAATTGTAAAATAGTGATGAACAATGATATTCTCCACAGGTGTTTATAAAAATGTCCAATTCCTCAAATAGCACGCATTTCTTAGAGCAATGACTCTCTTTCGCGTAACTCTGAAAACTACATATTTGCTGTTGCCTGGTTGGGGTTAATTTCAGGCCTTTATCATGCTTTACATTCGTCAATCAGACTCAAACACAATGTAAACAGATAGGCAAGAAGCAGCGGAAATTAGACTGAATATGTGCGTTGACTGCATGCATGTAACGCGGAACGCTGTCTATAGTCTGTGTACATATATAGTGCTGCTAATTCATAGAACAACATTTATGATGGTGATTAAAAGCCACAATTTCACAAATAACGTGCTTGTATTAATTCTGTTTGCAGATATGATAAAGCATACATGCAGTTATTGATGTGTACCCTGAATGGTTATGCAGTATAACAGTAGACATCAGAGAAAACTGCCTTGTCTGACGCCTACAGAGAATTTATGAACGGTCCTTAATATGGAGTTCGGGAAAGACTGAAGTGTTTACATTGGACAAAATGCACATTTATGAATACACAATGCCATTTAGAACGTGGTAACATATGTTATATTTGGGAATACACTTTCTTAGTAAACCCAACCCCAAAAAGTACTAGAATCTGTACTTTACTAAGACAGTGTAATCCCTAATATTACATATGTTGCATATTTTATGTACACACACAGGTCGGGTGAGTGAGTGAATAAATATTTTAATTTACGCCGGGGTCAGCAATATTCCAGTTGCCGTGAAACCCAGGTTAGATCACATCTGTACGGAAATCACACGATCCACTACTAATTACCCTTGGAAGGGCCATACATCTTTATTACTGATGTGGATGATTTCTTTTGGAAAGGCTACCTTCGGGATTAACTGGTATAATTGTATATGGACAATAAACGACAGTATTATAGTATATCGAAATAAACGACCATATTATAGTATATCGAAAATGAACGACAGTATTATAGTATATCGAAAATAAACAACAGTATTATAGTATATCGAATATAAACAACAGTATTATAGTATATCGAAAATATACGACAGTATTATAGTATATCGAAAATAAACGACACTGCCCAACAGATTAACGGGGTTACATTTATATAAATTGCCTGTAAATAATCGAATAGGTAACAAGTGATTCCGGCATCGGAATACGAGGACATACAATTAATCATGCAGATCGCTCAGTGTAATATACATCCCCGTACTGTTGGCTCTTATGGAAGGAACATGATGCTGAGGGCCTTCATCTGCCCCGTCATCCCCAAGATGTCCGATCCTTTCTGGAAGTGAACAAATGCTGGCACTGGCGTTGATGCGCATGGTGACGTCGATGACAACGTGGCGTGGTACCACAACGATGTTGATTGTTGCTTGTGATCCTTATCTATGGGATTACTGGTCCACATTTGGTTATCTACAATCTGCCGGGGAATGACAGGAGCAACGCTGGGTGGCAACACACAAACAAATAAAAACAAACAAAACAAAACACTCCGCAGCCCACCCACCCCCACCCCAATAACCCTCCCACAAGACAACCTCCACCCCTACCCCCATGCATGCACATGAAGTCACGGATACTATTTGAACACATTTGTCGGGAAATATGTTCATCCGTCAATTAGGATATAGCTAATCATTGTTGAAATGCATGTTCATGCATATTTGTGTGAGAGTTTCACAACTTTATCTTTCAGCATCGTGAGTGTCAGTGTCGTGATATGTTATATTTTAGTCTTCGACCAAAACTTCCATTCTTCCTACCTGGAATTCATCATCAAACCTGTTGGGATTTTTGTAATGTTTTCTCTCTGTGTGTGTATCTTTGAAGTTACATGATTTATTGTCTTTACGTAACAGTCTACATCCGGGTACATTTACAGGAAATGTAAACACAATGTCATCAACCTGCTTGGACTTTACCCTCTGCTATAAGCGCATACACAATGTAATGACTTTACTCTCTGCTATAAGCGCATATACAATGTAATGACTTTACTCTCTGCTATAAGCGCATATACAATGTAATGACTTTACTCTCTGCTATAAGCGCATATACAATGTAATGACTTTACTCTCTGCTATAAGCGCATATACAATGTAATGACTTTACTCTCTGCTATAAGCGCATATACAATGTAATGACTTTACTCTCTGCTATAAGCGCATATACAATGTAATGACTTTACTCTCTGCTATAAGCGCATATACAATGTACTCACTTTACTGTCTGCTATAAGCGCATATACAATGTAATGACTTTACTCTCTGCTATAAGCGCATATACAATGTAATGACTTTACTCTCTGCTATAAGCGCATATACAATGTAATGACTTTACTCTCTGCTATAAGCGCATATACAATGTAATGACTTTACTCTCTGCTATAAGCGCATATACAATGTAATGACTTTACTCTCTGCTATAAGCGCATATACAATGTAATGACCTTTTACTCTCTGCTATAAGCGCATATACAATGTAATCACTTTACTGTCTGCTATAAGCGTATATACAATGTAATGATCTTGCTCTCTGCTATAAGCGTATATACAATGTAATGACTTTACTCTCTGCTATAAGCGCATATACAATGTAATGACTTTACTTTCTGCTATAAGCGCATATACAATGTAATGACCTTTACTCTCTGCTATAAGCGCATATACAATGTAAGGGAACACGAAATGGTGAACACCCTCAGCTGAATGATATCAAATGTGAAACTAACATCTACAATAATTACACCTGTCGTCAGTATGTTTTGTAAGAGTGTCCAGTAACGTACTTGTGTTTGAGTACTCTGCCGATCATACTAGTCTTGGTTTCTTGGTTGTTTAACGCCGTACTCAGAAATATTCCACGTATATGGCGGCCACTTATCTACTTCTGTTTACCTATTGCCGCGGTGTTACATATAAAAATTCATATCCAGGATAAACAAATGCTTTAGGCCTATCGTAGGTACATATGTTGTGTCTAAAGTCTGACCGAAACGCGTGACAATAATTACGCGTGCGGTAACAATTAAAGGGACACAGCTAAAAAGAATAAAATTGGAATATTCTTCAACTAATATATATCTGAAGTATCTCAGTCCATACACCGTTACTTTTAACATATTGATGTTTCACATACTGTGTTCTCCATACTCCCTACCTTTATACATATCGATCACACACCTGCTATATTCTCCGTACAACCTAGCTCTCTACACATGGATGTCATACACACTATTATTCTCCCATCATTGTTATAGTGATGTCATACCTGCTATATTCTCCGTACAACCTAGCTCTCTACACATGGATGTCATACACACTATCATTCTCCCATCATTGTTATAGTGATGTCATACCTGCTATATTCTCCGTACAACCTAGCTCTCTACACATGGATGTCATACACACTATCATTCTCCCATCATTGTTATAGTGATGTCATACCTGCTATATTCTCCGTACAACCTAGCTCTCTACACATGGATGTCATACACACTATCATTCTCCCATCATTGTTATAGTGATGTCATACCTGCTATATTCTCCGTACAACCTAGTTCTCTACACATGGATGTCATACACACTATCATTCTCCCAACATTGTTATAGTGATGTCATACCTGCTATAATCTCCGTACAACCTAGTTCTCTACACATAGATGTCATACACACTAACATTTTCCCAGCATTGTTATAGTGATGTCATACCTGCTATATTCTCCGTACAACCTAGCTCTCTACACATGGATGTCATACACACTATCATTCTCCCATCATTGTTATAGTGATGTCATACCTGCTATATTCTCCGTACAACCTAGCTCTCTACACATGGATGTCATACACACTATCATTCTCCCATCATTGTTATAGTGATGTCATACCTGCTATATTCTCTGTACAACCTAGCTCTCTACACATGGATGTCATACACACTATCATTCTCCCAACATTGTTACAGTGATGTCATACCTGCTATATTCTCCGTACAGCCTAGTTCTCTACACATGGATGTCATACACACTATCATTCTCCAAACATTGTTATAGTGATGTCATACCTGCTATATTCTCCGTACAACCTAGCTCTCTACACATGGATGTCATACACACTATCATTCTCCCATCATTGTTATAGTGATGTCATACCTGCTATATTCTCCGTACAACCTAGCTCTCTACACATGGATGTCATACACACTATCATTCTCCCATCATTGTTATAGTGATGTCATACCTGCTATATTCTCTGTACAACCTAGCTTCTCTACACATGGATGTCATACACACTATCATTCTCCCATCATTGTTATAGTGATGTCATACCTGCTATATTCTCCGTACAACCTAGTTCTCTACACATGGATGTCATACACACTATCATTCTCCCAACATTGTTATAGTGATGTCATACCTGCTATAATCTCCGTACAACCTAGTTCTCTACACATAGATGTCATACACACTAACATTTTCCCAGCATTGTTATAGTGATGTCATACCTGCTATATTCTCCGTACAACCTAGTTCTCTACACATGGATGTCATACACACTATCATTCGCCCAACATTATTATAGTGATGTCATACCTGCTATATTCTCCGTACAACCTTGTTTTCTAAACATGGATGTCATACACACTATCATTCTCCCAACATTGTTATAGTGATGTCATACCTGCTATAAT